AGTTTTTCACCTATAGTATTTTCTTTACTCTATATGTTGATGATTCAGATAAGATGAATTTGTAGTCTATACTGCTCTCTATTCTTAGCAATTTTCAAAGGTTAAAATAGACCTTTTATATTTGTTTTGATTCGTGTTTCCATAGGTGAAACCAAATGATGTAATATTTTGGATTTAACTATGATTCAACTAGATCCTTCATTTGAGAAAACAAAATTGAAAAAATATTTTTTTTTCTTCGACGATTTAGCATGATTCTGTAGTGATTCTCTCTTAGTAGCTGGAATTAATGAAGAGAATTGGAGAAAAAGAGTGACAGACAAATCACGTTAGATACAGATAACATCATAAAATAGTGCTGAATGAAAAAATCAAACAAATATGAGACAACTGCGAAATAATGAATAAACGCGGCCAGTAACTGACATACATTGACAAATCGATCAGCTTAAATAAAGCCAATCATAGGTGTCAATGTTATAGCTGTCTCAATCATTTCTAATATTAGCAGCATCTTAGCGCTAAGTATGTAATATTCAAAATAGTTTATTTTACATTTCGAATCTTCTTAATAGGTTACTCACTACGATTAAGTTATTAAACCTACGTTGTTCTTCTCAGTTTGAATGCTATGTTACAATCGATAAACTTTATTTGCGCCTTACATCATTGGCTTGTTTTTTTTTGAATGATTTGTATCTTACTTTTGCAACATGTCAAACCTTTGTCTTCTGTTGCTATCTGTGTTTGCCTTCTTTTTTTCCTTTTTTTTGAAATCCTTATCAAGCAAGCACTCTATGAGACGTACTGCACACAGCAGCAATAAAACATTCACCGACAGAGAAGACGACAAGTGACGACAAAGAAGCAAAAAAACTTAAACTTGCTCAATGAAATGAATTTTATATGGAGTACAGAGGCCGATATTTATTTCTGTATGATTTGAAATGGTTAGGATCGTTTAAAGATAGACAGTGACTAACAACGAGATATTTCAGTGCATCTTTATTCGATGATTCGATTACTGGCAGTTAACAGCCCACAACTATTCTAAAAAATATTTGCACATTATTTCATGATAAAATATATAAAACGTATATTATCATAAATACGAGATAATATTTCTTTCAAAATGATAAAAACACTGACAATTTTCAGTACAATTCATTTTTTAATTTAAGTAGATATTCTATAAGATTCGACATTTCATCGTATTTCTCAATAAAAAAGAAGAAAAAAGAAAAGCATTCAACTTGGTCATTTGAACTTGTACTTTAAAAATATTAACATTCCCAAAGAAATCCTAAGATCAAAACTTGGTTTATTTTTTACCTGATTCTTATGAGAAAAACCGATCTTTGAATGTAGTATAATATGAATGCAAAAACTGAAATACTAGGTCTGGACTATTTTAAATTCTGGTGAATATATGTGAGATCTTTTTGAAGGTATTCTGTCGACTATGGAAGAATCAGACAACTGTATGACACACATAATAATGTAGACATATCTTGAAGTTTTCTTTTGATAAATTCTCTTAATGAAAAGACGCTGATCGATAAAAACGAAATCGACATTAAAAGAAATCTCTAATGATTTTTTCATAAGTCGATCGGTAATCTATATTCTAGTCAACCAAAATTCATCTATAGAGGAGACATAGTTAAGAATTTTTGCTCGAAAAAACCATTATCGAAGTTCATTATTTTCAAAAAAATTTTGTTCGATTTCACTTGTTAGAACTTCAATATTCAATATCATTTCTTTTAGAACATACAATACAGGTCTACAAAATAGTACATCGGTTTTTGGCCGAGAAGATCGCTTTAGATCAATATTACTTGTGTAAAAAAACGAAAGGTGTTAAAAAAGTTATCTTTTTCAATTTATAAAAAAATTATGACTTATTTATCAATAAACGTTTTGAAAATTAACATTGATTCAACGTTTGGATTGAAAATTAAGAACAACTAAAATTCCATCAATATTTATCTATACGTTTATCACATCATGTTTTTACAATATGTCTATGAAGCGATCTAATAGTAACTGTGTGGATATGGATGCGAGTGACTCCTCTTCAAACACACAGCTATCTCCCACATATCCATTACTTTCTATATTTCCATTAGCAAAAGGGTGTGGGTGTGGGGTAGCTGGGGTGTGGGGTGGCTGGGGTATGGGTGTGGTTGAAGAGAAATACGAGACCCATATCCACACCCACACCCCACATTAAATACCAATAGAGTATATTTTATATAGAGATACATTTCTTCATCAATCTTCTATGAATAATTTCAAAATTATATGGAAATACAAAATAAAATTTATTTACTGTGCCCATATATTTACTACACAATAATAAATGGCCATAAGAAAGTATAGAGAATATTTTTAATAAAACACAACTAATAAATACAAATGAATATATTTCTCGAATGAATATCTGAAATGCTCAGATACGAATAAAGCAAAAGAATAGTTCTTTTTTTTTATAAAGTTATTTTTATAATACAAAATTCAAGTAATTCTTCTGTTATTGACACAAAATACTTTGCATTATGCATTTTCTTTTTCATGTAATAACTAAGTTTTATTTGATATTAAGAATATGATCATATAAATGCACACGCTGTTCTTTTCCTTCACGTTCACATCTGCGAAAAGAAAGAGAACTGATAAAGACCAGTTTCAATTCTGAGTAAAGGTATATAGATAAATCTGTATCCAGTTATGCTACCAGAAATTTAAATATTGGTCATGTATGCATATGGATGGTATGGTAATTTATAAAGTAGAGAACTCTAACCTGTGTGGGTTATTGTAAAAGATTCAAACAATATAGTGATATCAGATTGTACGATTTTGTATGAACGTGCAAGAATCTGTGATTGATCTCATTGCCTGATCGATTGATTTGGATCCATTCGTTTGAGCTAAAACTTTTAGAATGTAATAATTGTTATGAAATCTGTTATTGGAGAAAGTTTCAAATGGAGACTCGTTATTGCAGTTTTTTTTGCTAATATCCTGCAATGTGCTGAAAATTTAATAGAAAAATCATGAAAGGCTTAAGAGCACAAACATGTTTAATATTTTCATCATGACTATGAGTGCTACTTATGAGCTCGAACAGAGAATATCAGTTAGAGAAGTTCTCTTAATATCTATTTGCTGATAAATAGGACAAAAAAATGTTTGCTCATGTTTTTACCAGAGTCATACAAATTATATTTAAAAAACAAAACGATTAATATATTATCTAGTTTATATTTGATCAAAAATTTTCTTTTCTCTGAGTTATTATTCAAATCATAGCACAAAAACTAGTAAATATTTGATACTTTTTGAGAAAATATCTATATGAAAAAAATATATATCTTCACAAATTTTTTGGTGTAGTAATAGAAATTGGTGATATGATTAGATGTTTTTTTAGTTTTACATTTGATTCTTGTCGTTGTAACATTTCAGCAGCAGTAGCATGATGAAAGCCTGATTGATTAAATAAAAATGCACTAACATGTCCATGAGGAATATATCGAATATGAATACCAGGCCATACATCATTCATATGTGGAATACCATCGCGTAATACATAACCATCATGTGTACAAGCAATAAACATAGCATTAGATATATTTGATTGAACTGAACATGAATAATTATATAAAGATGTAAATTCATCCATAAGAAGACGCATCATATCTTTAATAAGATCGAGAACAATTTTATTTGAATCTTTTGATCAATTTCGTTCACGTAAATAATCATAAAATGTTTGAGAGGCTATATTTTCATAGAATTGTCGACAAGGAAGATCAGGCCATCTAAAATATAAATATATACACAATGGCTACCAAAATTATTCAACTTTTACCCAATAAAAAACCATCCTAGAGAGTTCAAGTACTAGATACTGAGAAATTAGGCTTTTGGGTTGTCTAAAAAAATCCTAACTTAGGGAATAAAATAATCAATGTTTTTAATTTATATTCTTTTTGTGATATGGTTTGTTCTACTTGAATCATTATTTAAAATTATGATAGATACTGTATATCCATTCATTAAATAGATCAAATAATAGAATTGAATCTTACTTTGTAAATGCTAATGAAGCCATATGTCCACCAAGAGAAAAACCATGTAGAATAGCTTATGTTAATTTCATTTTTTTGACACTAATGAAGTAATACAAATGTTTCTAAAACAAGTGCGTTACCCATAATATATAAGTCAGTAACATACAATAATGATGAACGAGATTGATCTGGTGGTTTTCTTAAACCATAATATGAATTTTCAAGAAGAATTGAACCTATACGATATTGATTAATTAATGGAACTGCAGTAAGTAGCCTTCGTCGACTAAAACCATGATGACCTCTGTTTCAGCATAACAAATTTCTATTGGAATTGAATCAATACCAAAACGATGATCACATGGTAAAACAAGTTGAAAATGAGCTGTAGCTACTTGAGGTGAAACCTATTCA